AGTACAGTCAATTCGCTTTACAGTGTCTCTCCCGAAACGCTTTTGAGACGTCTCGAAGACGTGATAAGGGGCTATATTAAATGCAAGGATTATTATTATTCACAGCGTCACACGTTGCAGAAAAAATAGCCGAGTGAGATCGCTGCAGAGTATCTCAGTGGAGCATTTGTAGAGAGCAGAAAACTGTAAGCTGCATTGCAATAATGCACTCTTATCTGTTCTCCACCCCCCCTTCCCACCCCGCTCTGTCCCGCACAACTCCCAGTTAACAGCAGTAAGAGCGGACACACCGTAGACCCTTTCACTCCTTTTAAACATGACGCAAAGCATTGCCCTCTCGATCGCTTCCAACTTCAACCTGGAATCTTCGCAGGTTCGAAACTAAAATTTCCACAAATGAAACGAGGTGTAAACTTGCGATAGATTTTCCTTTAGAGCCGATGTGTAAACACAGCTTCAGTCGGGGGTTTATCCTCAATATCTGAGATCCTGTAATGAAGTTCTTCACCTATTGGGAGTCCTGGGGAAGATTAATGATATTCCATAATATGCTGCAATTTAAAGTCCTGCCTGACTGCATTTGTCATCTGTGTTCTTTGCTGTTATACCAGCTGAAAACTCTGTATGCTGATCTCTCTTCCCCCGGGACAGAGATTGAATTGATTATATTTTCAATGGAAACAATGGATTAGATTTCAAGATAATACAAATTATGACTTGAGACAAGGCATTGATTCGAACCAGAGATTGTCTCGACTCTCTGCCCTTTGATCACTTTAAACATTTTTTTTACAAACAACACCAACAGCAACAACAACAACTTGCACTTAGATAGCGCCCTCCAGCCAGGGCAGCGTCTCAAAGCGCTGAACCATGGCGGAGCCTAAGTCCGAACCGGGGGGAGGGAGGGAGGAGGTAGCACTAAGCACGGTCGAACAGGAAAGTCTTCAGGCGGGACTCGAAAGAGGAGAGAGAAGGGGCAAGGCAGAGGGATTGAGGGAGAGCGTTCCAGAGTTTCGGGGCATAGAGGCTGAAAGCGCGACCTCTGACGGTGGGGCGGAGGGTGCGAGGGACGAGCAGGAGGCCTGTGCCAGTCGAGTGGAGCCACCGGGTGGTGGATTGGGGAGCGAGGAGGTTGGAGAGGGAGGAAGGTGCCAGGGAGTGAAGGGATCTTGAAGTCGATCCGTTCAGTGATGGGGAACCAGTGGAGCCTGGGCCAGAAACTGGTGAGATGTGGGGAACGGAGTTTGGTTGAACTCGCAAAGTCAAGTAAGGCGGGATAAATGGGTGATGGACTGTCGAGAGGTGCAGGGGGAAATATAGATGTGAGGGAGAGATGTGGGAATGGGCGAGGACAGAACGAAGAATGGTTCATCCTGCAAGATGAGACGTTAAACCGAGATCCCTCGAGCGGATGATAAAGGTTCCATGACCACCGTTGCAAAAGAGAAGGGAGTTTCTCCCGTGTGTCCTGGCTTCGGATAAATTGCTCAACTCACACGGCTGTTTGCGGTGCAAATTAGTTGCAGCCGGTACACTTGTTACAGTAGCAATGACTTGTAAAGTGCCCGTCAATGCTCTTGAGCGTCGAAATCCTTTGGAGAAATGAAATCCTTTACGTTGGAAAAGGAGGTGCGTGAAGGCACAAACTCGGTGGCAGCGCTCTGTGAGTTAACGCTAATCTCGCCCCAACGAAATAAAAACGTTGAAATACAATGGCAACGTTCGTTTCTGATTTGGGAGAAACAGACGATTTAATTTAGTAGAACATGTTTCTTGGAGGGACTTGTAATCAGTGACAAATGTTTGTGAGGCTTATGTCCAGTGTATCTGGAGGGCAAAGGAGCGGAGAAACAAACCCAGCAGATCACCTGGTTCCACTGCAATGTTTTTAATGTTTCCAAGATGAGGATTTGTCACCTTAATCTTCATGCTTAAACCATCTCTGACAAGACTTGTTAGGATTAACTCGACTTCCTGCAAGCAAAGCAAATTGAACTCTTCCACTGCAGTAACCTTCGTGTTTGTTCAGCACCAGATGATTTTTGTTGCAGAGAGAGAGAGAGAGAGGGAGGGAGGGAGGGAGGGAGGGATGGAAAAAAAATCCCCACAATTTTGCCTTAACTCGTGATTCAAATATTTGCGGTCGTTTGTTGGCTAATCCGGCAATCTACAATTTAATGCCTGGCATCAGAGTGTTAAGCAGAGTGTGTCGTTTGCTTAAGATAGTGCTTTTTAAAGTGTACAGTGGTTTACATTGATCAGGGATAATTTATCTTTATCAAAAAAAAACGTACACACACTCGCAATGTGGGGAGTGATTCCATTAACTTGATATCCGAGCCTCATCAGTCCAGTTTGTCTTAAAATTTAAGATCGCATCAAACTGAGGCAAATTCATAAATTCAGTCTTAATTTGCAAGCTGGTTATTTTTGAAGGACGGTGTTAAATCGCTTTCCAAATTAACTGAATTTAACGCACATATTTAGGTTTCCATAATTCAATGGGATCATAATTTTTAAGATAAGATAAATTTGCAAGCACTGCGTTATCAATGGCGAGATATGAGGTTTCAGCTGGTTAGACTCCAGCAGTTACCCCAACGCACAGCAAACTCTGGGCTTCCCCCAAGCCTTAGCTCTTGATAACCTGCGCCTAATACTCTCGTTGCCAGGCACCTGCTAACCCTCGCAGGGTGCTTCAACGGGCCGATTTCATCCGACGCCACCCTCCCTCTGTTTCGCCTGGCCCACCCAACTTCCTCCCTGTGAATGTGACGTTATGTTTCTGGAAGGGAAACACAAAAATATTGTTTCCCCAGCCCACGGATGTTTCTCAAATCGGGCATCTGGCCCTCAACAGCCTAAAGGTTGGACCACCCTGGCTCACGGTTTGAAACGCACCCGTCTAACCACCCCATTAATTCCCCAAGACCTCGTGGTTATGTTGCTAACAATGGGGAACGCACCATTCATTCTAATAACTTGGTTAGCGTGAGAGCCGAACAATCCTAGCCTCGTGTTTAGTTATTATATTAAGTACATTAATGCTGTTATTTCTGGCGCTTATCTTTGCATTATCCCTTAATAAACTTAAGGGAGCCATTCAGCTAGCTGAGCATGTTCTGCTGCTTTATTAGATTATGGCAGCTCTTTTAATCTGATTCATCTCCCATTTAAACATCCCCAATCGATTCTGCCTCTACAGCCTTCTGGGGTTCGTGTGTTTCATTTGCAAATTCCATGGCTATTTCTGTTCCTATTGATCTCAGCATCTCTGGTGCTATATTTTTTCTGTGTGCTTTCTATCTCTGGCTCAATTATATCTGACTTCTTAAAGCGTCAGCAACCATCGCTGTCCTTTTTAACCCATGTTTGTCCACGAATGCACAGTCACTCCACTTCATAGTATTGCTTTGAGACGTCCTCCCGACATGCTACTTCACAGTATGGCAAGTTTCCTTGCTCCACATGCCTCTGGGTACCCAGCAGTAAATAGGAACCTGGTTGTTAGTCGATTGACGGATTGCTTTTCCGGGGCTAATAATCCCTTCCAAAAAAAATAAGAAGAATTCGGTCACTCAATCCACGGCTGTTTGTGGGACATTGCTGTGCGCAATTGGCTGCCGCGTTTCACCCACAAAATATACAGTCAATTCACTTTACAGTGTGTTCTGTGAAGGGCTTTGAGACGTCTCGAAGGCGTGACGAGGCGCTGTATCAAATGCGAGGATTATTATTTTATTATGTTTCAAAAACGATGTTACGTTGCTGATTTCCTCGGCAATTATTTATTGCCTTGAGAAAAAAGTCACCTTAAGAACAAGGGAATTTGCAGGGCCAAGAAAGAAAAAGACCATTGCGATACATCTGGCTGGTTCCATTTACCTACCATTTTGACATTTGACCCACTATTTTACATCTGTTACAGTCTATTACCTCGGTTGCTTATTCAGTACTTATTAGGGTTCAGAGCTGAATCACAGAATGCAATCGTCTGTCGGGTATTCTTAACTGTCAATGTCAATCCTTCCTGACTGTTTTACTGAACTGAAGCAGAATCTCAGGGGGAAACACCACTCAAATATTTTAGATCTCTGAGCAGGAATGACGATGTAGTATTGACAGAAGGCGCAATCTGTGAAAATTGTGTGAACAGTCACAGACTGTGCAGCATTCTCAATGTCACTTCCATTCATCAGGTTCTGCGTATGATGGTTTTAGTGGAAATTTATCAGAGTGGCTTTCACTGCCCTGAACTTTCGTGTTCTGCTCCTCTCAGGAACGTCTCGCTCACTCGCGCCCGCTGTCGCCAGTCATGCGATTGGCGGAGTTGCGATCCGGAGGCACTGTGACAAGTCTAGGTTGCATTTTACGGACCACAACTACTGCACTATAATGGAGTGGGTGGGGGGGGGGGGGCGGGGGTGGGAGCTCTAATGTATATAACAGTAATAATCCTTGCATTTGTTATAGCGCCCTATCACGTCTTTGCGACGTCTCAAAGTGCTTCATAGACTAAACCGTAAAGTGAATTGACAGCATATTTTGTATCAGACAATGTAATAGTTCAAGGACTTTATTCTGACCTAACCACGACTTGAATTATCTCATCTTCTGGTGCTTTGGGTCTCGAACCAGCCTCCGAACCAATTTCTCAACAAAAACCTTGAGTGTATCTCTAGCTTGTGAGTTGCGGTCTCCTTGGCAAGTCTGTTTCATACGGTGGTAAACATTAAAATATTATCTCAGAGGAATGGCAGTCCTGAATTCCGAGGTTCTTGACCGATGCGTATTTTTTAAACGACCGAGCTTGAGTTTGCTGAGCCTTAACGAGACGATATGTTGGGTTAAATCTTGAGGTCCTTTTTACGATTGTTTGTTTTTACAGCTTTGGATGCCAGATCAACTTTCAGCGGAATATCCAAGCTTATCTCGCGGGAACTGACATTTTCCACGCAATGTGCTGAGCTGATTAGTTCCGTTTCTCTTTGTCCCAGGTTTCTGACAGATGTGACTATGTCTTAGTGAACGGCAAGGAAATGAAGGGCAAAGTGAATGCCATTGTCAATTTTACTTACGAGCATCTGAGCGCGACGCTGGAGATAACCGTGTGGGTACCTCGTCTCCCTCTGCAGATCGAGGTCTCTGACACCGAGCTCAGTCAAATCAAAGGATGGCGCATTCCTGTCAGCTCCAATAAAAGGTATGATTTATTGGCCGACATTTATTCCAACGATTAGATTTGGGGGCCTGACAATGGTCAGAACGGTAGGTTCAAGGTAACTCATTGTGTGAAGCACGTGTGAGACGTGTGGCGACGATGTGCTGTTGCGTCGAAGGCGGGCGCTATTCACGACGATGACGAGAATGCCAAGTGGTTGAAAAGATTTCTAATCCGTTCCAAGAGAAAAAAAATCTCAACAGTAAATTGGTCGCTCGATCCACGGCTATTTGCGTGGGACCCTGCTGTGCGCGATTGGCTGCCCCCCGTTTCGCCCGTAAAATGCGCAGCCAATTCGCTTTACAGTCTATTCTGCGAAGCGCTTTGCGACGTCTCGACGACGTGTTAAGGCGCCATGTCGGATGCGAGGATTATGGCTTCCAAAAAAAACAGCATTTTTTGTCACTTTTTTCGAAAGAATTATTTCCATTCCGATCGCACGAGACGATCCCCCAAAAAACACGCGTTGTTGCGACAATGGCATAAAGTGCGTCAAAGAAATAGAAAAACGGGTTTTAGGACCAGTTGTAATCCAAGATCGGCTTATTTTCGGTCGGGAATGGAAACCTGATCACGTGGTAGTGGCTTGATAATACTACAGAACGACATGGGATAATTGACCTTCACTTTGAATTGTGTAAATGCAGCGTACTGCAATAAATTCAAAGTTATTGTATTCAGCACAATCTTCCGTACAGTCTTAAGGAGCCCTGCATCATAAAGCAAGATGTATTGGTGGTGAAGTGGCTAACGTGGCAACACTCCTGCTAGTGACAGGTCAAATTAAAATGCTGCTACTGGTGGAAACTCTTCGAGACGTTAAACCCGGGAGAGCTGCTGTTGTAGTGGCCTGGCTGCTGGTTGGACTCACTCTGGCCACGGGAAGTGTGACCGTCTGCTCTCATCCAACTCCAGTTGACGCCTTGCTTTCTTGGGCAGTATATCGCGGAGGTCAGTTTTGCGAAACACCACTGTTAAGAAACCTGTTTAAGTCCGTTGTGGAGCCCTGTAACGTATTGGTTAGAGCCCTCGCCGCCAAAGTATCCGGTCAATTCACTTGATGGCATATTCTGTGAAGCGCTTTGAGACGTCTCGAAGACGCGATAAGGCGCTATATTAAATGCAAGGGTTATTATAATTAAGCCACCTATAGCGGTGCCCTTCACACCGTCTAAAGGTAACCACACTTTCAAAATAGCTCGAGTGGGAGTATTCCTGCGACAGACTTTGGATTTCCGCCCACACTATTGCAGTTTGGGTTCCTTATTAAGTAGTCCTGTTAAGAAATATCACAAATTAGACCCCATCAATGTTAATTTAACACAAACACAGCAGAATCGTTTATAAATCCCCTCGACATTCGGCTTACAGTTACATGTCTCGCCACTCACTCCCACCCATTACTGTTTTACAAAATATAGGTCACAATCTGTCACTGAAGCAATCTCTGATTCCCCCCCTTCCCCCCCACTACCCCCCACTTCTATTGTAGTTCGGTTTAAACGTAAAATATGTCTCTCTCCAAAGCCGTTTGGATGATAGCTCGGTTTTTTTGGGTGCGTTATTTACATAAAACCTTAATTAATAATTACAAAGATGGCACAATATTAATTAGCTCCTACGCTGCTGTCTGATCCAAGTTGGAACGACCTGCTAATGAGGTGTTGCAGCATTGTGGGACGGACTCCCGCTGAGAGGAAGAACCATAAGTCGTGAACAGTTTTTACTGAGCCGTTTAATTTGTGATGGGTGTTTCATAGACAAAGAGATGAAAGCAACCATAGCGGATTGGAAATTATTTTGTGTTGAAGCAATAAACATACAGCTGTAATAAATAAGAACATAAGAATTAGGAGCAGGAGTAGGCCATTCGGCCCCTCGAGCCTGTGCCCCGCCATTCGATAAGATCATGGCTGATCTTCTGACCGAACTCTAATTACCTGCACTATCCCCATATCCCCTAATGCCTCTGTTTTTTTAAAAATCTATCAGTCTCAGCCTTGAAGATGTTCAAGGACTGAGCATCTACAGCCTTCTGGGGTAGTGAATTCATATAAGAATCTTATATGTTTCAATAAGATCTCCCCTAATTCTTCTGTACTCCAGAGAATACAGCCCTAGTTTATTCAGCCTATCCTCATAGGTCAGTCCCCTCATCCCAGGAACTAAGTTAATAATAATAATAATCCTCACATTTGATACAGCCCCTTATCACGTCTTCTGACGTCTCAAAGCGCTTCACAAGATGCACTGTAGAGTGAATCGACTGTATTTTCTGTGGGAGAACTGTGCACAAGCCATGGATTGAGTGAGCGAAATTATCATTACTGTTTTATTATTATCATACCTTCAAGCAATGCCTAAGCTTTACAACCGTCCTTTATACATTTGCAAAACCATGTCTTTGGTTATTAGAAATCCTGATCAAAGCAGAATCTTTCGCCGAATCGAACATTACTTGGCAAATGAGTTACACGTTGATCAGGATTCAACTACTTATATATATATATATTAAAAAAACCTCCCTGTTTGTTCATCAGCCGCTGTTTTCAATGACGGGTCTTGTTCAAGCTCCTTGGAGCAAAACACTGTTGCTATTTTCTGCTTTTATAATCTTCTTAATTGCATGTCTCGCTCAGATTAATGTTGGCAGCCTTTCGTTGTTTCCTCTCTCTCTCTCTCTCCCTCTGATAATAAGCGAAATGCAAAAAAAATGCTCCAAGCTTTTGAGAGGCAAACTGATACAAAGTGAAGAGCTGTAGAGTTATGAAGTGTGTTTCAGCTCAGTTTATTTAATCATATTAGGCTTTATTGGACCCATGGGCTAGAAACTTCAAAGAGAATGCCTAAAAAGTGGATGAGTGGTGTAATAATTTTCCTATTGCCTGCTAATTAACTTCTAGTGCCTTAGCACCAAATATGATGGTGGAACGGTAAGCCTAATGCCCCCTTGATGCCTCGCAGCTTAAACAAGCACTCGAGGATCTTTGAATATTTCTAGGAGTCTGGGTCAGTGAGAAATACAGCAAATCGAGGCTATGTCTTGTTTAAAGCGGTGCCAAAATATTCTCCCTGGAGTTGCGAGTCATTACTGTTATACATGAGTACCGAGGGCCAGGTAATTCAGGTCCTTGTTTTTTAATTAGGATCTCAATGCAATGAGCTAAAAAAAAAAGGCCGACTTTATGCTTAACTGTTTACTGCAGTTTGAAGCACCAGGAAAATACAAACTGGTCAGAATGGGCGAGTCAGTCTCAGTCTCAGGGTCCTCCGTAATAATAATAATAATCCTTGCATTTGATATAGCGCCTTATTATGTCGTCGAGATTTCTCAAAGCGCTTCACAGAATACACTGTAAAGTGAATTTTTAGGGCGAAACGCGGCAGCCAATTGCGCACAGCACAGTCGCACAAACAATCGTGGATTAAGTAACCAAATTATTAGCTATTTATTGTTGAAGGGATTGTTGCCTCAGGGAAGAGCGATCTGGCAGTCGACTAACACCCTACTTACTGCTAGGTAAACAGAGGCGTGTGGAGTAAGGAAACTTGCCCAATGTTTCGCCCTGCCTGGGAATTAAACTCGGGTTCTCTCGCTTGCGAGGCGAGTGCTCTATAATAATCCCTGCATTTGATATAGAGCTTTTCACGTCTTCAAGACGTCTCAAAGCGCTTCACAGAATAGACCGTGGAGTCCTGTAGCTCAGTGGTTAGAGCACTCGCTTTGCAAGTGAGAGACCTGAGTTCAATTCCAGGCAGAGGGCGAAACCTTGGGCAAGTTTCCTTACTCCACACAGAGCCTAATAATAATCCCTCCAAAACCAAAAACAATAATTAAATTGGTCATTTTTCAATCTACGACTGTTTGTGGGACATTGCGGTGCGCAATTGGCTGCAGCGTTCGCCCACAAATATACAGTCAATTCACTTTACAGTGTGTTCTGTGAAGCGCTTTGGGACGTCCTCCCGACATGAAAAGCGCTATATCAAATGCAAGGATTATTATTATTATTACTGTAAAGTGAATTGACTGTATATTTGTGGGCGAAACGCGGCAGCCAATTGTGCACAGCGGCGTCCCCACAAACAGTCGTGGATTGAAGTGACCAATTTATTTATTTTTTTTCCTTGAGGGATTATTATCAGGCGTGTGGAGTAAGGAAACTTGCCCAAGGTTTCGTCCTGCCGGGAATCGAACCCAGGCCACTCGCTTGCAAAGCGAGTGCTCTAACCACTGAGCTACCGGACTCCACTCTGTACTGCTCTGTTTATATAGAACTGCAGTGTTCTCTGTGAAAAATACAGTATAAATCTGCATTCAGACGGCAGCTGAGCCCACCATGCATAGGTGGTCTCTGGAGCGCTTTGATTTATAGCAGAGCTGCACAAGCTAAGCATATCAGTGAAAATTGATACTGGTTTCAGTCCCCAATGATCAGCCAAAGAATTTCCAGGAATTTTTTTTAATATTAAAGACTTTATCATCAAAACTAAAGATCTGATTTTTGTTGCTCACGTACGGAACGCCACAACCAGCTGTTACCTCTCAAACAGTCTTAGACCCACATGATGAGGAGCAGAAGGTACGGTCTCAACGACTAGATTGGCGCAGGCTTTTCAGGTTTGAAAAGAAATGTCTCGGAGAAATTATATCGGGTGTTAAATGAGATTGACCCAGACCAATACTCGCCAATACAGTGCTGCACAGAAGAGGGAGAAGAGGTCACACAATTATGGGTTAGAAGAACCACCAGGAAGTGTTTCTTTACACAGAGGGTAACCATCAGCTGGAATGGTTTGCCAGGAAAGTTGGTTGAGGCCTGTTGGTTGGACTGTTCTCCGAAAATGGTTTGATGCTATAATGGGAAGATTGAGGAATGAGTGTTTAGGAAGGACATGACCAAAGTGTGGAGCGTGGGGGGGGGTGGTGGAGGGACCTTCTGATCCAAGCTTCTCTTAGAATCATCTCAGGAATGTTTTGACCCCGAACCGAATATCGATGTCTTGGCAGGCCGACGAGAGAGAGCGATGATGAGGATGACGATGAAAGAAAGGGGCGAGGCTGCACCCTCCAATACCAACGTGCCATGGTCAGGGTTCTCACCCACTTTGTAGCAGAGCCGTTAGACCCCGGCGGGCAACTGGTCTACATGCTGGGCACTGACTGGCAGGCGGACATCACTGACATAGTGACGGATTTCCTGAAAATGGACAACCCCCGGATTGCAAAGCTCCAGGACGGGAGGATTCTGAGCGGGCAGGAACTCGGGATAACCACTATTCAGGTACGTTTGCTCCTAATTGTACTCCCCGAGATGCCAAGGTGGAAGAACACTGCCTAGCGCCTCCTAGTGGTTGGTCGGGGTGCATTGCTGGTAGCAGTGCCACGAGAGGGAGAGCTCTTGTGGTTGAAGGAAGTAACAATAATTCGCACCGACTGCTTTTAGGTCTTACATTTGCAAATTAATTATTGACAAGACGTTGATTCCCCTGAGGGCAAGTGTCAGTACTTGCAGTCCTTTGTAGTGTGTTAACAGTATTGTTCACACGGGTATAATTGGAAGGAGGCTGGAGAAGCTAAAATTGTAATAACTTACGATGTCAAGCCAAAATCTCCGAGCCTGAGCAGTCAGCTAAAAACAGCCCTGCAGTACCAAGTTAGAGATGATTTACGACATGTATCTGATGGCACCGAGACCCACCGGTCGCAGGAGCTCTCCTGTCCTCAAAGATGAAAACAGATGACATTGAATGGCATTTCCATCCAATATTACTCTTTTCAGCCTCAAGGCCAACAGGGATTGCTGAGCGATGTGAGGAGAGTCGTATAATCCAGCAAAACAAGTCAGTGAAGAGTACACAGGCCTCATCAGCGCAGAACTGGCTCTGCAAGAAGGGCTTTTAATTATGCAGATTGTATTACTGACTCCATTTTGTGGCCATGAAAGACCCTGCTCTTCGATCGTGACTTCAGTCACCCTCCTACCCCTACCCTCCACCCCTCCTGATCCCAACCCCCAGCTAGGGATCAAACCCCTGACTGTCCAGCACCTTGGGACGTCCCGATGTGAACGGCGCTGTGTAAATGTAATTGTTGTTGTTGTCTCTCAACTGCATGAAGTAGGCCCTTATGATCTTGGCAATGTGAAACCAAAGACCACCAGCATATTTTATATTCAATACAGCAGTGTAGCCCCTTAAGATATCTTTTAACTAATCACAAACTCTTTGTGCGGGATAGAGTCATACTGAGTGGAGTATGTGTTTTAAAGATGGAGAACAGAAGCTCGTAAATAATTTATCGCTTAACAATATCTATTCCACTTATCTTACGATCATTTAATTAACTGTCCCTCTTACTCGTTTGTCTGCTCTGCATTTCTGATATAAGTGTAATTACATAATGTTTGAAGATTGTATAACAAAAGGCAAAGTAAGGCAGTGGGTTCTGTGCAGAATTAATTACACAAAGCCCACCCTGACTGCTAATATTACAGAACTGAAGCTAGTCTGTGGTCTGTGCTATTCCTTACTCCTCAATCCACGACTGTTTGTGGGACGCTGCTGTGCGCAATTGGCTGCTGGGTTTCACCCACAAAATGTACAGTCAATTCACTTTACACTGTAACCTGTGAAGCGCTTTGAGACGTCTCGAAGAGATGATCAGGCGCTATATCAAATGCAAGGATTATTATTATTATTATGACCACATTGGACGTGAACATTGCTTTCTGGTTTCGACGTAGAAGGTGATAGTAATTAATCAGCCGAGGTGCGTGACACAGCGATAACACGTGTATAAACCGGGGTTTCCTTTGTTCTTAAAGGTGCTGTCACCGCTCTCAGATTCCATCCTCGCTGAGAAAACAATAACCGTGATCGAGGAGAAGGTGACTGTCACAGATCTTGGGATTCAGTTAGTCACAGGCCTGTCTCTCTCCTTCCAACTGAGTCCAGGCAGCAATCGAGCCATCATTGCAACAACGGCAGCAAAAGATGAGCTTCACACCGCCAAACAGGTAGCGTTTCCAGGGTCTATTCACCGCAGATCATTGGCAACGATATTTCATTGAGCATTGAGCATGTGAGTTCAGGGTGTTTGATGTGAGGAGGCGTCAATGTGTCCACACAGGGAAGGCCGATAAATTGGACTGCCTTCCTTGCCGTCCTTGCCTTCAGGTCAAGCAGCCCGAGGACAGGTTACTTTTATGGGGATGGGACCAGAGGGAGGCCAATTGTCCCATTGAGTCTACCCCTATCATTTTATTAGTTCTTTTTCTAAACGATTTTTTTTTAATGTTCATTTCCCTTTATCTTTCTAATCCCATTTCCTTGCCTTATTATTATTATTTTTATAATTATAATCATTATTATCGTTATTATAATTCGAGCGCCCATGAAACAAGAACGTTAAGTGACGGACGAAGCAAATTTGCTGCACAATCATTTTAAAATGAATTATTTCGTAAGCTAAGCGTCACTCGGAAATTGTTCCTCCGCTAGACGTTTGGAGTGTTTGAGCAGCAATGTTTCGGGATGTCATTATTCGGCAGATTAAAAGAAACTGTACCAAAAAACGGGGTCTGAGAGGGGGTCATGTTTTAAGATCAGATTTCTCTGCGGCTGGCAGATTAATCTTTGATGAGATGCGCAGTATTTCAGCACTGACAGAGATGAGCTGGATTCTGTAATGAGGGTAAAAGCCCATAAATTTTAGGCGATGTTGGGGTGAGTGAGTTATGACTGTTTTTTGCCTGAGTGAACTCGTGATCACTGGCAAGATAGTCTGTTTATTCTGTGTGGTGAGACAGAAAGAGAGAGAAAGAGAGAGGGAAAAAGAGAGAGAGAGGAACAGAGAGAAATATCACTGGAGATTTAGTGGATTCCCGATGTTGCTGGGGTTCCAGCCATTAAGCAATAAATCGTGCAGCTATCAGTTTTATTACTCACTCCCGGGCACTGAAATAAAACAATTTTATTCCCGTTGACAAAGCTTCAGCTAAGATTCCTGGGGTTTCACTTAAGCTTTGTAGATTGCAAGTACTCTTAAGGGTAAGAGAAAGTAATAAAATCTGTAGGGAATACCTGGTTGATTGCTCTGGGATGGCAGATAATAATTTAGAGTGTACTTATTTTCGTAAAATTGAGATTAACCTGAGCAGGCAAGACTGAGCAGTACTAATTTACATTGCTCCACAATTCTTATCTTAACTTTGCATTCGACCCTCGTCTGGCTTTGTTACACTTCTGTTTTAATAAGGGAATGACATCAAATTTGAAATGAAGCAAATTTCCTCCTTCCTGCCTGCTGATGCCATATCAACCTGTCCGCTCCCTCCGCTCAGCCTGCTCCACGTACCCCCCCCCCCACCTCACCACCTGGCCCGCCCCACCATCGGCGGGCAGGCCTTCAGCCTCTCTGCTCCCACCCTTTGGAACTCCATCCCACCACAGTCCCTTCGCTTTGCTCCATCTCTTGGCTCCTTAAAGACACGTCTCAAGACCCTTCTCTTCGACTTTGGTCACCCTCCTACCCCTGCCCTCCCTCCCTACCGATCCCCACCCCCAGCTCGGATCCAAATTCTCTGACTGTCCAGCGCCTTGGGACGTCCTCCTGACGTGAAAGGCGCTGTGTAAACATAATTTGTTATTGTTGCTTTCATGCAATTTTGAAAGGTATAGAGTTTAGGCTATCTAATACCTCGGAGGACAGGAAGTTATTTCAATATAATAGTCTTATCATTTCCACTGTATAAATGTGACAGACAATTCTCCGGTTGCTGTATTGGGCTCTTATCTTACTCACCAGTTCATCCTCTGCATCTTGAAGATTATAATCTGCTGCAACACATCTATGGTTTTACATCCAGTCTAAAGTGCAGGTCCTCTGCCCTTCGCCCAGAGATATAAGTTTCTTTGAACATTTATCACAGCGTTCGAGCTGTGGAATCTGTGCTTATCGATTGATCACTATAAAAGAGACGGTTTTAATTCAGGCAAAACAGGTCGCCATATGATGCTGATAGTGCAGTGATCTGCCTTGGGTTAAAGGTAACGTCCAAAGCACTCTATTCAGCAAGCAGCAGGGATTGTGTGAGGATCTGTGATGCAATGCCATCCCTTCTCTGACCTTTGGCTTTGTTTGGCTCGTCTCCATCCCTGCACATCCATGTGGATGAAAAAAAGAATTTGGATTGTTGTAGCGCCTTATCTCAAAGTGATTAACAGTGATTATTGTCATGTGCAGTGACTGCTTTTCTTGTTACTCGCATAAACAGTTCAGCTGCATTACATTAGCGCGGGATAATTGGGCACCATTCACAAAAGAAAGTGAGGAGCTTCGTTAACCTTTCCTGCTAGTTTTATGACCAGTAAATTGTGAATACGGTTCAACAATATTAACGGTATTTGTCATTTTAATGGAGCGTGTAATGGCAAATCAGTGTCTTTGGCTGTTGTTGGTGGCATTTGATGCCGTTTGGGGCTTTCAACAAGATGGCTTGATACTCAGCTTTGTATTTGTGCTCCTGTTGGGTCGTAGGAACTGCGGCAAAGCAGACGTTTCAAGTGATGATGCTCTGTGCACAAATTGTCATGAGATCAAATAATTTGTGGAGTCCTGTAATGTATTGGTTAGAGCACTCACTTCACAAGCAAGAAGATCTGGGTTCGATTCCCGGGCAGGGCGAACCCTGAGGCAGGTTTCCTCACTCCACACGCCTCTGATTACCTTGCAGTATGTAGGAACCCGGTTGTTAGTCGATTGGCGGATCAAATATAAAATGCAAGGTTTATTGTGAAATTATTACTATTATTATATCAGGCAACTAACTTTGTACCCAACCGTTTTCCTGGTTCACTGTCATTCAGCGCAGGGAGATCAGGCATTCAAAACGAGAATGTAATAGCATCTATCTTCTAAGAGGAAAAAGAAACATCACTGCAATAACATGTGGAATTCTCCACGTCATCTGAATTCTCTGACTGATCCGATCAAAAGAAAAAAATTGTTTTACAATCGTTCCAATCATTTAGTTAACGGGATTTATAGGGGAAGCTTAGTGAAAGCGGTTAGTGGTAAAGTAGAATTAAAGTTTTTAAAATCTGCTTTGATTTTAAGAGTTTGAGCTTTAACTTTCCGATAACATCAGTTCGTGTTAAGTTTTTACTGCTGGGGTTGAAATGACTTTGCTTCACAAACTACAGCGACATGAACTGGAGATTCTAGATATCTGGAGGATTGAATGAAATAAGTCCATTTGATTTAGAGTTCTGTATGTGCGCACGGAAATCAGGTCTTAGTTTTACTGATAAGCTCTACTTTAGTAACATTTTAAAAAAATCCCTTGTACGTTCTTCGGCTGATCATTGTAGATTGCGGTTGGTATCATCTTGTACCGAGGACTGCATTTCCGTCAATCCAACTGCTCCAGAAACCGTCTAGACCAGGTAGTTTCATTGTCTGATTCAACAGATTTACCCAGTGAATGGTACAGCATTAGTTATCTGTTAACGTTAGTCCTAATAGATGATACATGCAGTGCTGTACATTTAAATCTGGCATCTTAAGCCACAAATTAATCAGAAGCGTTAACCATCTGTGCCGAGCATTTGAGCAACATGACGGTTGTCATAAACACATGTACTTAGCGTCTCAATCCGTGCCAGACAACAGCTGCCTGCAGCGCGGGGAATTTGGGAATAAGGGAAAAAGTTCGTACTTGTCGTCAAGGTGAGCCGGGAAAGATTCAGGAGTATTACAGTAAAACGTAAACAATTATTGGGCTATTCTCTGGAGAGGTGCAAGCCACTGCATCCAGGAGACAGGTCAGAACCTGTAGAACATCAGAATTACTGCTCAAGCGCTCCCGAGACCCCGTCCGGCATGACGGGCGCTATATAGGTGCAAGTTGTTGCTGTTGTTGTTTGCCGACAGCACATTATTTGCCACAGAGCTGCCACACGAGCTATTGCCTTGTTAATAATCATTATACTGATAATCCTTGCATTTGATGTAGCACCTTGTCACGTCTTCGAGACGTCTCAAAGGGCTTGACAGAATAGACTGTAAAGTGAATTGACTGTGTGTTTTGTGGGTGACTAATAAGCGGGTTTCTACTTAGTGCTGGGTAAACAGAGGTGGTTGTTTGTGAAAACGGTGGCCAAAGATTACTTTGGCTTTTATTTACCTTTTTTCCTAACATCCACACTATGAAACAAGTTTTAAAAAAAGTGACCTTTTTAAAATAACAGACCCTTGTGATCGTGTTAATTAGCAATTATCACATTAAATCTGATAACAAAATGTCATGATTTTCTCTCCCCAGTTTTCCGGAGAGAGAAAAAGAAAAGGTTCATTAGGAAAATCCCCAACAATGCGAGATTAGATTGATTGAAGTTACTGAGGCAGGGAACACAGAAATATTCGCGGTTTGCAATTCAATCAGAACGCAGTGTTTGGAGCTGAAATTTTTCAACGCAGCTCTCTACAAATCACGTCAACAGGCTGCTTTGAACAGTTTTCTGCTGGTAAAGGGTATTCTAAGCACTGCTAGGTTTGTAAGCAGCTTCAATGTGCTGTGGTGTATCGATCAGGATGCTGCCAATCTCGTCTGTCACTTTAATTTAACACCAACCGACCAAATACGATAGATGCTGCTCTCCCAGCTCATGATCAGATCTCTGTGCATTTCCCCTGTATTTTGTTGCTGCTCGAGTAACTGAAAGTGCATCAGGAACCACGCAGAAGGAAACTGATATGATATTGCAAACCAGAGGCTAGACAGTACCTGTACATCAAATTAAAATCTTATTTCACCTTCTTGTCCTCGAGTTGTGTTTCCTTCAAGATTTTCTTTCATTTGCCCTCTTGTCTATTAAAGCGCATTTTATTAACATCTTGTTTTTATTAAAACTCCAGGGAGAGAGTGCGCATTCCGTTCCAACAAGCTTTCTCTGGGATTTCCATGCTTGGGTGTGGCATGTGTGGAAATTGCAGCTTGGTTTGAATACCCTTAAG